ATGGAGTTCTAGGCGTGTAATAATTAAGCGACAAGAGACATACGATATAATATAACATAAACCATCGTCTAAAAACAAAGCCGCACACAACATTGATAGACGGATTATCGGGCGTGGCTTCAAAGTTATTTAGTGGTTCTGAGTTCAGAAGTCTTTTCAAAATAAAGGAGAGTATAGAGACACTCATTCAGTTGGAAATCCAAGCAGAAGTTCATTTCTCATTTAATTGCATATATGCAGCACGTTACATAAATAAAAGAAAGCAAGGGATGGAAAATCGCATTAAGGAGCACAGCATAAATGTAGATACTAAGCGTTATACTGGCGAAAACAAAATATCTTATATATACAATTAAACGAACAGCAAATAGTTAAAAAACTATGTAAACCTGTAAATAAGGTTACAAGGAGCCATTGCCATTTTTCAAAACCAAAGCGAGGATATGAAGACCAAGATGGTGTGGTCCTCGTTATCGTCGAAGTCTTACGTTGGGAATTATGACAACTACTATAGCAGAGGACTTAGGACAAAGTGTGGCCAATTAAGCTAGCCTGACCCTAACGAGGTCAGTCCATCTATAAAAACGAAGGCATTTCTCGGATTGTATAATTCTTGGGTGCACAACACAAAACAATTGCGGAAATGTCTTTATTGGTGTACTTCGATATTATGAGTATATATGCCTGAAGAGATTTGGCTAGCAAGAAGGGCAGCGCTAATTGATAATAGTATTGCAAAAAGTCTCATCAATGCATTGCACAAGTAGCAGCTAGCTAAGGGAATGTCAACGATCGCATATTTAGTGTATAAAAATGCCCATGGCGAGAAAAAAGAAAAATTGTTGCGGAAGAATCACTTGAGTTACAATTGCTGAGCTCATTTCCATTATGAGTAAGTGTAACGAAGAAATTCTTAGGTCGGAACCATCAGATAACATGGCGAACTCCTCCTAGCCAATTTCAATTAGGCTTTGATGAAACGATATGATTGATGCTATGTTTGAGACAATCACCGATGCCTGTGAGGAATTGCTGAGTTTCTGTTTGCCATATGACAGGCATTCGCAGAACAGGAATGTATTCTTAAGCAAAATTCGTGCTGAGTCAATAAAATTAGCTATCTCATCCACACAAGTTGTATAAATACTCCAAAAATAAGATCTTCCGTGAAGTTAGTTCATAGCATAAGTGAATCAGGAGGCATGTGCGCCATTGTGCATGTAAAGGAATGAAACGAATGCTAATAAAGGGTCCAAGTAAAACAAAGCGCAATACCTGTTTTGGATGAACCAGGTTAAATGACTCTTTACTGATTGTGTAATTGTTCTGTGAACTCTAGGGTATAAAAAATACACATCAATCAGACAAGACTATTAAGCGGAACAGCATACTATATCCTCCCGTCTAGCAATTTATCATGAATAGCACACTTATCTTTGTACCTGTAATTTTGGCATTTGCTATATTTCCTAAACTTAGCAGCTTAATACAATTATCAACAAAACACTGAGAGAGATAAATCTACCTCAAATCCAACTTCTGTCCTATATTTACCAGCTAGGATCGTTTAATCCAACAGCTTCTGCAGGCACTTTTATTTTAAGGTACTCTAGCGAATGGAGTGGCAGGTATCTATAAAATAAAGGCAACTGCGTAAAGATCTTATTTTATAACAGCCTGGTAGGAATAATGAGCCAACTTTGTCTACAAAAGTAGACTGAGAAAAATGCAACATAGTTTCGATGAAAACTGTTTTTATTTCCAAATTCCATACCAGTTAGTCTATCCTCTAAGATAGAAATATATGTCAAGCTAACAAAAAACCGTATACAAATCAATGGGCTAGGATTATATATACACACATATGTATATATATTATATTGTTGCTTTATTGACTCCCTTGTTTAATTTAATTGGAATAGTACCCTGCTCTAATGTTTATCATGACAGACTTAAGCTTAACACATTTTAATCGGAAACGAAAGCGGTTGTCCCGAATACAGCATCAATCAAAATATTCCACTAAAGCCAAATGATAGACGGCAAAGAGGAATCCGGTGTCGAGTTCTAGTAACGTCGACCTACAAATCTTTTCAAAACAAACTTTCACTCGAAATGAAATCGAACGCAATAAAGGTAAATCAAAAGATTCCACGAAAACCAAACTCTTCTTCACATACTTTTAATGCTATTTAAGGTAACTAAATAAAGCATATTACATTCTTCTAACAGCAAGTTGATCTAGCAAATGAGTGCAAACGATCCAGATGATAAAATAAGAGTGGCTTATCACCAAAAGTTTAAGGTTTATGTGATACCTTTGGATCCTGAACCAACAAATGCAAAATTCCAAAATAAATGACCTAAGTATTTAGCCATATGAGGTACATTCAACTTAAGGCTCTCTATCGACCATCATATAAGCCAGGAGATCTTATGGTAAGGCACATAAGTGATGAAGAATGACCCAGCCGAAAAATCCACCAGAATTATATATTTAATACTATAAATGTACAGGTGCCAACATTGTGGGAAATTCAGCTATCAGTCTTTCATCATATTCTTTGAGCTAAGAAGACTAAAGTTCTTACCAAATATCTAATAATATGGAAACCCACTCATGAATTTAGCTCAGTGGATTAAATAAAAAAGTAAAAGTTTATCTTGAGAAATTCTCTAGATTTGATAAAAAAGGCCTGGCTTTTCTTGAAATTCATGTCTAATCTGTGACCCATTGAAACCCGTGGTAGCGTGGCGTAGTAGTAACATATCAAAATTATATGAGATTACCCGGATTATAATTCCTTCCTCCAGGGGAGTACGATAATACAGTCCACTCTAGAAAAGAACATCCTTTGGGGGAAAAGGCTAAGTGAAATTCAACCATAAACTCCTCATTGACTTATGCGAACTAGAACAACTGAGGCTAATATTCAAGATCAATTTATACAAGCAAGACCTACTTAGTATGCAAATCGATTTGTTATATTAGGTAAAGTTGGTGCGGCGGTGGCCACTGACATTGCTTGCTATAGACAGAATACAGAGAGCTGCCTTTGTTTGAACTGCCCATGGTTAACTAGTCAGAAGGGAAGCTACAATGACCTTCAAACAGGATCTTTCAGTAAAGTTAAATTCCAACCAGTTGTGTTATCTATTAATCGTAATAATTACTTTAGAAAGCGGTCTCCGAGCGGACATATTGCTGAAGCCGACAAGCGTCAATAATGTCACTGGTAATAGGTTAGGATAAAATAGCAAATCAGAATCACAAGCACAGCACGTAAATACACGATACTAGGTATTCTAAAAGTGTCGGAATATTAAGTATTTCAAACATAAGGTAGATTATAAATCCTGTCTATAAAAAATGGAGCAAAATATAGACTACCTCGATGCAAGTTTCGACATCCGGGAAATCATTCATTATAGGAAGCACATGCTGGAAAAAAACAAATAAATGAATAAAAGGCCTCTCTATAGTAGACCAAAAATAGGTAATTAATCATGGATATAAAATTAATAAAGATGATAAGACTAGGGACAAGGCTTGAGAAAAATCTTTTAGATGAATTATGGTTACATTTTTTCACAATAAACATGAGTCTAAGCCCTTAGAATATTTAACCTATGATGGCTTTCAGCATGCTTATATTCTAACCGAATCGACTCCATTCGACGACAAAATGGCGTCTGAGAAAGCCTTGTGGAAAAATTAAGCAAATAATTTATGAATGAAGACACTAGGTTGCCTGTCTGCATTATTGACGTAATAGTAGGCATTAGGATGATAAGGAGTACAAAAAGGAGCAGACGGATAATTAATAGATGCTGTGATAAATATGGTTAGATAACGCCTAGACATTACTCGAAGAAAATATTTTTAACACCAATAAATTCATTGAAAACTAGGAAAATTTATTCAAAGTACCTCCATTTTGCTAACTGGAACAAGATCAAGTTTATTGCCGACTAACACTACGGGAGTTCTTAATCCACTTTTAGTCTCACATTGTTGGATAAACGGCAGCCAATATGATCTCAACTAAAATAAAAGATAAAACGGGCTAATTACTCAGACCAAAAATGTTAATTCAGATGTAGTTAAAACAATTACGAACTTAACGGCATAAAGAGAGCTATATGTACAAATTAATAGTCTCAAATATTAGCAGAGCGGCTTTAAAACGTAAAAGAAATATAAAATACTCACTTTTGAAATAGAATTATCATCATCAAGAGCATAGACTAAGCACATTACGTCGGCCCTGCATATTTCCGAACACAACTCATCGGAATTTTGTAAGCGAGACGAATAGTCAACTATTTGTGTCGGTACCCTCTCCGGTGTAACGTCAGCTGGAATTGTTATCTCTTCTGCCCTCGCGGGAACCTAAGAGTGAAAAACAAGCAATTACGTGTATAATATTATCCAAGTAACTTACACAGTTAAAGAGTATCTACTAACTGTGAGAAATTAATACAAGAATGTATGAACTATAAATAAATTTGCGTAAAAAATGACTTTCTATCCACAGGCAGGCATAAATAAGGCTTTACCTGGGGAGAGAACTCTTCGCTAACTAGTGATAGAATCAATGTAGTCTTTCCAACACCGGCTAAAAAGTATAAAAATCTCGTAAAAAACTCAATTTATGAAAAAAAAAGTATTTGTAAATGTCTCACGCTCGCCAACGAGTAAAATCCGGACGGCCTGCTTGTCCATGAGCCTGAAAAGGAGTAATAAGACAAACAAGCGGCAAGTTAATCAACATTTAAACATTATTTTATTGATTTCGGAATAAGGTAAATGTAGAAACTAATAAGGTTCAATTATTACTGATTTTAATATCTAAGCCTGCAAGCAGATGAAACTAATATTTTATAACGCTTGTCGTGTTTCTGGTGTTGCTCATACCTAATAATTTATTAATTGAAATTTTAATCCTAATTTTTCATTCATAAATAAGATTAAAGCACAGCAAAGATTATTCAATAGACCCGTCTAGCCTCGTTATAAAACGAATATCAAACCTCGAAATAGGCGTTTTCTGGCATCCCTTATAATCATATAATGTATCTCATAATATTTTTGGTTAGTATATATTTTGATTGCGTGAAGGGTTTTTTGATGCGGCTATGACCAAATAACAACATATTGATCCACATCGATATTATTTTTGATCTTGCAATATTGGTCCGTGTAAGTTACTTCGTTCTCCATTCCAGTAAAGGCATTACTGAGGCAAATTTAATTTTATTCTTTAACATCGTTTTAGGGACTCACCTCCTATCTTCTATGAGAGTTTACGAGATTAAAAAGCAGGACCTTATTGGTGTGATTCGACCTTCCTTCTTGACTGAATTAGATGAGTAATCTCAACCTTTTACTTAATATTTTATAACACTTGTATTAAACTGAAATTTTCATTAAATATTTTTTCTCCTTGCTTAAATAACTATCCTAGATAAGAAGCAGCTTTCTTACCTATTGCTCTTGTTTTATCCCCATTCAAATGAAATAAACCTCGCATTAAGCCTCCATTTATTATGCAAATCTCTTTCAGAAAGAGCATTCCAGAGACTTGACCGCATAAATACAGTCTAAAGTTTAAGATAATCCTCTTTTACGGCTTCTTGTGAAGCCTATTTACTTTTCTCTTCACCCTTTCATTCCGAACGAAATGAAAGAGACAACAACAAGAATTGATTAATGAATTCTTCGAAACCTAACTTCTGTTTAAAAAAATTCACTTTTATTTAGCGAAGAGCTTTATCTATTCACTTTACCGATTTTCTCTAGAATTTCACTTATCTTAACCCATTTTAGTCCAATTTCATCATGTATTTTCTTTGCAAGTAAGGTTATTAGACATTGATACTGGTGACCCCCTCTTCATCATTAAATCCGTGTCCAGCCAACTAAGAGTGAGCCCCCTGTCCACACTACAACAATAAATAAATATAGAACTTAATATTTGTTTCTAAAATGGTAGACCCCCAAGCAGTTATAACCACTTGTTTCTATGTAACCCGGTAAACTATTTTCTACTAAACTCTTTATAAGCTCGAAAATTAATTAATTCATATTTGTCCTTCGAAAGTCTCACTCTGGCTATGCCCTTTTTTATTGCAAAGGTTGCACTCTTTTTCGAGGTTTCGACAATTGCTTTACTTGATAATTTTCGGAGCATGCAAATTTGCCTAATTAAAAAGCAAATGTCATTTGTACATTGCCTTCCTTTGGAAGAAGATTTCCACGATCCACCCTTTCATTTGCTTCCTTATATTTTTACCATATAGGGTCATATTTTGGTTTAATTAAAAGTTATATTATGGCCGGTCAGTAAAACAAGTTATTTAATTCAGTTTTTCCAATTCCGACTAAATACTTTTCTATGTAATATTTAATTATTTTCATCTAATCCATCTACATCGAATTCACTTCCACTAAGTGTAATTATTCAAACTAATAATTTTTTGATGTTATAATATTCAATTATAAAACTGAAATATGAGGATTATTCCTGCGTGGAATTTTCTCATTAATGTGCTTTATTAAAAGTCGCTTTGTAAATAAAAACCTCCACCTTCGAGAACATTAACAGTATAACCTCATATAAAACCATTACGATGGTGACTTTTCGATCTTAAATTTGGGACCTTTAGAATCGATTTATACTTTAACATTATGGAAACGGAGGTAAAAATTAATTATATATGGTTAGTGGTTAGATAAGATATAAATTCTAAATGACAAACCAAAGAAACTGGTTGAATTATGTTGATG